ACCCTGGACTTATTGCCTCGCGCAGACAACTTTAGCTTATTCTTCCACTGATCGATCAGCTGCTGTTTCCGAGAAGTCTCGCAAACATCAAAAGCACTCACCAACTCTTGTTCAATGGAAGCACATGAGGCTTGCAGCTGTAAGGGTGACAATGTGTTGAACAGTGCATGAACTCCGCATTTCGCTGCAACGTTAGTGGCGTTGGAAATAGTAGCATACAGTTGTGAGATCCACGCTGAAGACGCGCCATCTTTCCATGCTCTAGCCTTGCACCGAATCTCATGCACCAATCTAAGAGCAGTGTTAAAGCAACTGGAAGAGCGTTTCTGGATGTCGCGCTTGAATAACGGAGCCTTCCTAAACGAAGGAATCTTACCTCTAGTTGGAGGAACAGATTGTTGCGTGATTGTGTTAATCATACTGGTAACTGCGGCACATGCAGTGGTCCACAAGGCCTCAACATCACAGCACTCAGCATGTTGAATAAGGGAGGGCATAAACTCATCAAGTATTGGTTTGATTGCGCTCTCACGCTCTTCCCACTCGGACTCTTTACAGGGCAGGGGTTCAAGTGACCATTTAGGGTGAGGCTTGACGACAAGGATGCTGGTTTGAAACGGTTCAATGTTTAGGGTAAGCGTGCACGGCGAATGATTAGGGAAACCGGCGCCCCGAAGAACCGAAGCAGACTGAAAGAGGGGTAAGGCAAGCCTGTTCAACAAGAAATAGTCGATCCTAGTCTTGCCAAACAGTTGATTCGGATGAGGCGAGTTGGATTTTTGGAAGGTGTGTTCGATTTGTAACCCCAGTGCCTGTTGCTGTTCAGCATATACATCAAACCACTCGTCAGCCACGAACGACGTGACAATGGATGCATTGCTTTCCGGCGGGCTTTGAAAGTCCCCGCAACACACTATTGGGTGATGACCAAGAGAAGCTGCGAAACTGAAGATGTGATCCATAAGATCGTTCCTGTCTGCAGCAGCAGCTTTCCCTGTAGGCAAATACACATTAAACACGTAAAAACCGAAACACCCAACCGACACCCAAACAGCTTGGCAACAGCTTTGAATAGAAGAGTAAGAATCAGGAATAGAGACTGGGATCGTGACACAGTGCGGTTTTGACACTACTGCCACCCCACCTGTAGGTTGACGGTATCTCGCCACCTGTCCGCCTTTCAGTTTCCTAGTGCTGGGCTGTGACCCTGCAGTTAGCTTCCAACCCTTTTTTTTAAACCGTCGCGCGAGGTTCGTAATTTGCGATTGTGGGATTCTGCTCTCTTGCAGGAACATGCAACTCACACCGCCCTCATCGCTGATGTGGGCATCTATGGTGGCGATGCGCGCAAAATGTTTGACACATGAAGTCACGTTGGCAGATACGATGGTTAAAGGCCCTTCACCCTTGTACCGTTTACACGGAACAAACACTTCCCAAGAGATCGGGCTCGGCGAAACAGAGTGTAAACTAAAGGAGTCTTCAATCGTCCCATAACAGCTTTGACAAAAATCCCCACGGATGGGGCCAGCCTTTACGATTGGTGCTTCGCACCTGAAGTTGCAAACGAAGTGTTGATTAACACTGTGTACATGAATTAGGTCGCGTTGATTCACGCTTTCAGTAACTGTGACTGTACCATGACCCATGTTAAACAAGGGCACAGCATCATTAACATTAAACGGGCAATAGGAGCAAGAGATAAACAAAGCCATGGTGACAGACAGCACTTTAGTCCGCAAAACTCGTCTCACCCTGACTTGTTTAACCTTGGACTTGAACACCCCATAAGGAAACCTCCAGTACACGAGGATAACCACCATAAGAAGCCCGCAAAGCCAAATCTAAATGTGAAGGACCATGAGCACCAAGCAAGCATAAGCGATTACGATACAGGCAATGCGAGCGTCTCTCAAAGTCGCGGATGAGAGGAAGCTCAACACATCAACGGCTCTCCAGATTGATCTCGCGAGTATTAAAAAAACTCGCTGTTGCTTGGAAGGTGGAGAAACGGCGTGCGCCGGAGAGCTGTTTGATGCGAAGCTGCCAGCTTTGAGCTCTTGAATCGCCATAAGAAGGTCCCTAAAACCTACATCTTGAGAACTTTTCAAGTCCCTCAGCTGTTCTTTGGTGTCGATTTGATCACTTCGTAAAGCCTCAATATCTTTAACTGCTTGCCCCAACTGCTTCTCTAGAGCATCCACTCTGCCATGGATGACCGCATCGGGGGGAGGCAACAACGACGGACCTGGCCGACGTGTGGAGAAGTTGAGGGCTCTGACGGCTGCCGAACTCGAAGAAGTTGAGGATGGTGTTAGAGACTCTCCTTGGGGCTGCGATTGCGACGAATCCTTTCTGTTGGCCTTCCGGTACTGTCGTACTTCCTCGGTGACGAGAAGAGTGCCAAGACTGGTAGCAACACGGGTCTGCTTCGGCTCAACCTGTGCTGCAACGATGGCTGAAGCTAACTCTTGATAGTGGTAAATTCGAATGGGCACTATATCCCAGTCAAACGTCTTAGCCGCGGTGATCACGTCATTCATTGATGAGCCTGCGGGGAGTCCTTGTATGCGGAACGCCATGGAGCACTTGACTGCGGAGTTAGCCTCGTTGAATCTTTCATCGCCAGGAAACCAGTGTGCACGGGCTGCCGCTAGATGAGAATCTGCAATCCTAACATACGTTGCGCCTTGCGAGGCAAATACGCAAATACTCCCAAGTGCCCTTCAAGACCTTCCCCAAACTTGAAGAATTCCGCGAGGTTTCGCTCACCGTGCACTTTCATAACCTCTAGACCGATTTCTTGTGGATCCCGTGGTCCCCGAATTGCACGGCACTGAACTGAGCATGCACCTGAACGCCGGTAAACGGCATCGCGAGAACCGGATGGAATCTGAACTCTGCGCACAAAGTAGTCTTGCTTCTCAGTAGTCTTGTGCAGGATGGACTGACCCAAGAGACCCAAGGACTTCAGTAACGACTCAACGTACACGTTGAACGCTGCCACTGTTCCGTATGCCTTCCAATCAGAAGAAGCCGCCTCTGCTTGACTGCTTGACGCATCTCAAACAAAACTGGCAGCTTTGACTCATCACGCAACGCAAGTTCATCATCTGAATGGGTTTTGTTGATGAAATCCATTTCATCAACGGCAAAGTTCACCAAGGATACAGCGCGAGCCTCTACTAAAGAAGCTACGCCATCCCACAACGTAAGAACTATCTGATGCACGCGGTTCGATGCGATACCGAGGCTGACAATCTTCTGGGAGATGAACCCTTTGAGAATCAGAGCGCACGGTCGGCTGGTTCGTATCGTTGAGAGCACTTGCAATCTTGCATGGGTCACGAAGGCAAGTCCCTCTGAAGTCTCGTTGATCTGAGCTGCAGGAATGGAAGCCATACCCGAGCATGTTGCCCCTGTAACAAGAGACAACTCAGCCGGATCAGACAAAGTAACCCCACAGATATCATGTCTGGTCTCCCACGCACATCGCTTGGCTGCCATGGTTAGGCCAGGCTGGCCTACGACACTCCGGGAGTAATCAAAAGAAAACCCCGCACCATCCAAAGTCGTAAACGAAATCCCAATCTGTGCTTCGGCTATGCCCTTGGCCATGCCCTGGCCCTACCCCAGACCACACACCAAACCGTCGCTTGTGAGTGGCAGTACTGAGACTTCTGAAGATTTCACGTCTAGCCAAAACGGCGGCTAACGCTGTTAGTTACGACTTCCTGTTTTGCCCTTCCCTGATGGCAGGTTTCAAGAGTGTTGTCTTCCGGGGTTGACCGTAAGATGCATGTGTCCGTTGCTGTAGTCTCACAGCGTCGCTGCGATGTCTCACAGCCTACCGCATTGATCAGCAGCTGTTCCCCTTTCCGCGGCGTGCGATGCGTTGGTGACGTGACCGCTAAGCTTACTCCTCCTGTCCAGGTCCGGTCCAGTACGCAAGTCATGACCGATCATGACCGCACACTTGGCAGCTTCGTTGCATTTCAACACGTCGGCAACCGCTCCATTGTCCAAGGCTGTACGCATACGAGATAGCGATCGGATCGACTCTGTCGACACACCCAAGCCACAGAAACAACCACAGACTGCACAGGTCTTAGGGGCGATGGCTCGGGGCAATCGCTGCCTTCTTGTCAATCAGGGATGGCAACCGCCGGGTCACGTGATTCCCGCCGTTGCGGCCGAGAAGCGCTTGAGTCCACCGAGCTGCAAGGATCTCCCAACTCCCAACATGCCCAAGTCACCGAATGGCTGCAAAACCAATTGTTGCTGCGGATGCTGGGCAAGTAGATTCCCCTTCTCTCAAGCAGTTTGCCTTTCGTAGATCAGGCCCTGCGGAGACGGCCAAGTTTCGCCGCATGTTTACTGTGGTGCCCGCTGCAGATCAAAAAACATGACACTCGTGAATGACTAAAAAGAGCCTAGCCGGTGACAACAAGTGAGCCATCCACGGAAGCTGCGTTGAAATTGCTGCAGGTCAAAATGGGGAAGTGCAAACACCCTCCCTGAACACTTGCAGCGACATCAACCGAAAAACAACTAGCTGAGTGGGCACCTCCGGGCCTGTGCAAAGACTCGCCTGCTGGTGTGAAATCGGAAGGTGTTGGTCTTTGCAGGGGCTGCGCAGCCCTGGGGGGTGCTTCAGCCTGGTGAGAGGAGTGCCGAGGTAGCGGTCGCAGTTGTGTTGGAGGCAATGGCAATAGCAACAGCACGGTACAAGTACTCCACATCAGTTGCTTGGTTTTGGATCATGGAGCTGATCGGCATGGATCAACAATCCCACACTTCCCAAACCCTGAAGTTTGAAAGCCTCGGCAAGGATCGGCCAAATCCTTACAATCTGAGCGACTTTGTCGGGGATTTCCGGGTTTGCATTTCCTGGTTTGGAAACTTTTGTGACTGCTGATGCCTGCTGATGTCTTGGCAAAAACATCGGCAGGAGTCAAAATGGTGCCAGGCTCAAAAGCGGTCCAACATGCTCAACATCATCAACATCTGCAAAAACGAAGGCCCCAGCGTTGCCAGAACACAAAGCACGGTGATACGACTGTTCCGTCCTCAATGGCACGGATCATCGGTGTGTTGATCCCGACCTCTCGATGTTGCTGCAGGTTTCGCAAGAAGCATGCATGCACATTTGCATGAGCCCTCCCAACAGCAAAAAAATCAGCTGGCATTGTCCTGGCAACAAGGCCCAAGGCCCGAGACACTCCGTGCCTGTGTGCGAATGGTCAGGTTTGCGCCCAGGCGCTCCCCGATGAGCTTCCTGGGAGGAGGACCCTCGTCTAGGAGATTGAAGAAAGCGATCGCTAAAGCCGCGTTCGGGACTGGGAAGGTGGCTGCTGCATGGCACAAGCCATGAGCTTCAGAATGAACCCCACGGCAATGGCGATGCCCGCACCGGCCTCGAAGCCTCGAGGCAAAACCCAGCCGACCCAAAGGCTCATGCTGTACGGGCGGCGGGGCCCGGCGGGCGGGGCCCGGCGGGACCCAGGCCCAGGGGACACTTATCCGCGATGATGATGCCGGCGAAAAGGTAGACAGGCACGCCGGGCACCTCACAGCCGAGCGCCTAATCTAAACGCCTGAAGTCAAGCGCAAACCCGAGCCGAGCGTGGAGCCGGAGGCAGAAGAAAGCAGCACATGCCTCAAATCCAAGGGTCCAAGTTGGGCCAAAAAGGGAAACAAACGGGGGGGGGAGAGCAGGAGACGGAGAGAGGGGGGGAGGGGGGGGGATTGCACAGGCAGGCGCCTGCTACAACGATGCAGAGGCACACCAAGCCGAAGTCAAAGCCCTGAAGTGCCGAGCTGAGCCTTCCAGCAATGGCAAAGGCCCGTCGGCTGCACTTTCCAACTTCTGCGGGGCCGCACCAGGAGAGGAAGATGTTCAGCAGGATAGGAAAAGTCACGTAGAGGAGCATGAGGAGACCTTCGGGAAATGGCGATGTCTCTTGGACGGCAGAGTAAGCTGAAAAGGTCCCATGCCGAAGACATACATCTTCATGAAGATGGAGATCCAGTCCCAGTCCAAACGCATTGCCTCCACCTGCCATCAATGAGGCAAGCGCCAAGCTCGGGGCCAAGCTCGGGACCCGGACCTGGAAGGAGACTCGCTGCGTGAGCCAGAGCTGCTCCTGACAGCGCAGCATCGAGGGGGGGGGGGGGGGCAAGCCCCCCCCCCATCTTTGATGCCCAGCCCCAGCCCGCCGCGTCACTGTTCGGTGCCAGAGCGACCCTCAAAGCAGAACCGTGTCACGTCAGCGTCGAAGCAAAACACCGTCTTAGCATCTGGGCGGCCCACGATTCCTCTGCCTGAAATCAGCAACTCCGGACCCAGCACCGCTGGAGCCGCTGGGGCGCGCCTCGTAGGTGATTGTCGGGAGGCCCCGCCACTTGCGAACCTTCTGGTTCAAGCAGGAAAGAGCCAGCCTGAAGCATTGGGCAGTGGACCGTCCCCGACGAAGATATCTAAGAATCTGAGGCAGCTGCACCACGGGCACCAGTGGGCTGAAGCAGAAGACCTGGGAGCTAGCAGTCTGGCGCGGCTGGTAGACGCGGCACAGGCGTCGACACTCTGTGACACTGTGGCAGCGGCGAGCAATGCTCTCACCCAATCACCTCGAAACGGAGACACAGCTGAACGGATGGTCGAGTCCTCTTGGCACTAAGGGCGCAGTGGGCCCATGGACTGGGGCCCCAGCTTTTCAAGAGGCTCACGGACAACCGGTAAAGTGGTAGGTTCTGGGAAACAAAGGAAGTGCAGGTGTAGCATTCTCGTGCATGTTCGCATGCGCAGTCTCGCCCACGATCATGTGTCCTTGCACCAGTCGGCCATGACCTTGTGCAGTGCAGGCGTCCTGACTTCGGTCTGTGCCTCACGCATTTATCCCATCGAAGGGATCAGCGCGCTCTCTCCTTTTCGATCTGCGCGAGTCCGGACGCACCGTGTGACACCACATCAGCTCTAGAGTTCTAGAGTCGTCAGAGCACGAGGGACCAGGCTGCCGCCTTCTGCCGGGACTCCTCCTTTCTGTCCAGCAGCCATGCAGGCACCACGTCCTCCTCGGCGACAAGAGGCATCACCTGCAACTGGGCGAGGTCTTTGACCACCAGCTGCGTCTTCAGACTGCGGCAGCACTTGTTGCTCACAAAGTCCGGAACCTCGGTTTGCACTGCCAACATGCTTTTGCCGTCGGCGAAGCGGCCACCGATTTTTCTCCAACTCGGAGATATGGAGCGGTGCCTACACATCCGGGCCTTGTGTAGTTCCACTTGTTTGTCATCAACACCGAATGGACTAATTCCTTCAGATTGCAGCGTGAAAGCATGGCAGTCTTTTTTCTCTCTGGGGCATGCAGGTCATAGCAGCATAGCAGTCTCTCTCTCTCTCTCTCTCTCTCTCTATCTCTCTCTTCCGGGTAGGAGAGAAGGGCAGCGTCCTGGCCCTTCTCCCGTGCGGTCCGCACACCCGCATCACTTGGCGGGAAAGCGCTCCCCCTGGGGTACGTTTCCCTAGAGGGCTCGGCTGTACGAGCACGGCAGGTCTCTCCCTGCATGGTGTTCAACAAGGGGAGCAGTTCAAGGGGCTATTCGCCACTCTCTTGCAAACTCGGCGGAGGCTTACTTTCCCCCGGAAGGACAAGTCATGGCTCGACCTAAACAGCGACAAAAACCAACAAGTAACCAAAGCTTCCCCCAATTATGCTCGCATTTCAAGTGTGAGTACGAGGCAAAAGGTGAAAGAACTGAGGTCCCTCTCTCTCTCTCTCTCTCTCTACTCTGCCTGCCGCTTACCCGGACAAGTGAATCCTTCTTCCCTGTACCGCGGACACCATTCGTCTCAGCGAAGAGCCCCCCTCTAAGGCCGGCACCTCCTGCCAGCCGAAGACGCTGCAGCCTCTAATATCCCCTGACTGTCTCAGGAGCTCCATAGCCTCGCGCTCAAGGATATGCACCTGCTCCAGTTGGTCCAAGTCGTTCACGTCGTCCCCGAAGGGATTCCTGAAATGTCTGAGAGTCTAGAGACCATGTGCACCCTCACACCACTGTCCCTAGAGTCCTAGCAGTTGAAGAGGTTTCCGAGGGGCTCGAGCTCTGTGGCGATGGAGTCCACGCCCAGCAAGGCGAAGGAGATTACGGAGGGCACCACCGTGTTTGCAAACCAACCCCGGCTCGAATCCACGAAAAAAGGAGCAGAGATCATGTAGAAGCATAACAAGGTCTTGCACAAGTTCGCATAGGGTAACGGGATGGGTGTCGTACAGACCATATGCGCCGTCTCGAAGGACTCCAAAATGCCACCGAGCAAATGGACCAAGGCGCCCACAAAGCGATCCTTGATACCCCAAGGCTGAGTGTTGAAAGGGTCGTTCATGTTCCTGAAAAGCACCTCTCTGAGGAACCAGACGATAGCAACCGGCACGCGGACAAATTGATCAAATCGCACAGGAAACTCCTCGTCCCAAGAACTGGGAGGCCCCTCCAAGGTCCGCGCGTTGTGGAACTGGCTCGCTAGCCGACGTCGAGTCTCCGGCACTGACTCATCCTCTCCCAAGCCAATGCATCGGTTCACAATCTCGAACTCCTCCTCTGTCAGAAGCTGTAACAATCTTAACCTGTCCCAGTCTAGGAACCACTTGGCTTCCTTGTCAATACTGCCGAAACAGTATCCGTCCAGGGCGATGCTCGTGTGCAGTTTGAATGCGACGGCCAGAGCCACGCTCAGGCGTGCGACGTCGACTCGATAGCTCCTCGCCTTCTCGTCGTAGTGGTCAGGCTTGACAGAAGACGGAACAGTAACCCCAGGTCCTTGATGGAACAGATGGATTGAGGACTCGAGCCCACCACGCACATAAATGATCGACAGCAACAGCACTTCTCGGACTTCAGAGATGTAGTTCGACAAGGTGGACCGCCCCAGCCAGTACCTGGCATAGGCCTCGTTCGCGCGGAAGATCAGGAGGAAGGTCACCGAGAGAGGCAGCAGCATTGAATGATGTTCCGTGCCAAACTGCAGCCCGGTCTCAAGGGCGAAGAGGTAGGCTGCAATCGAATACAGTGAAGAGGCCAGCCATTTGCCCCAAATGTGCGGCCAAACAGTCCCAGCGTACCTGGAGAGCACCTCCAACCACTCACTGCTGCTGTACAGGATGACCATTCTTCAGAAGGCTGACGAAAGCATGCTGGGAAGCTGGGTTTCTGCAGGTGTGCTTGAAGCTTGTGAGCTTCTGTCATTCTGTGGTATTCTTTAAGTGGACTTGAATCCAAGGGGCGGGGGTCGTCTTTCTGCTGCACCAGGCCCAAGCAATTCGGTGTGTAATCTCGGACTCTCCAAGCTTTGTTCGGGCAGAATGTTGAGACGTACGAGCCAAGGTCGGGCAATGTCGGACTGTCAGGCTCCGCCTCTTCTCACGAGAGTTTGCTTTCTATCCCGAAGCCCTAGGACGAGTCTCGAGACAACACGGATCCCGCCCCCGTTCTCACCGCAACACCCCAGTGCTCTAGCAGATTGGCTTCCTCTCAGAGACGGCCCTGATCAGAATTGCTACTTGGGTTCTGGGGAGCGAAGGCTGCTTCGCGGGACTCTTAAGCGGGACCCAGCAACGCTGACGCAAGGCGCTGACGCTTCAAGGCGCTCGTCGGCAGGCGCTCTCGGCTCGCTGCCGTCTTCAAGCGCTGGAAAGCCACGGCCACGAAGAGGCAGAAGCTCAGGCTGAAGACCCCAAGGAACCCAAGGACCTGAGCGACACCCAGGTCGACCTCTTTGGGTTTTGGGCTCTCTCTCTGGGGAGCCGGCCAGGTCAGACAGGTGGCTACTGGAGGAAACGAGCTGACTGGCCATCCAAGTGGTGCCGAACCTGCAGCCGCCAGCCACCGCAGACCCTGAAGCCCTTTTGCCGGGTGCCCTGGGGCTCAGGGCCACGGCATAAGCACGAAGACACAGCCACAAACTTTGATCATGCGAGAGACGAGGTCTAAGTTCTGCCTTGGAACCATACGGATTGCAAGCATTCGCGCAGGAAATGTTGGGCTTCGCTGCGGCCAAGCTACATCTGCTTCTCTGCAAACTTGTCCTTCTGTGTGTTGCCTCGACCGGCGACTTCGTGGCACCCACAGGCAACAAAGGATGAGTAAGCCCCAAACTCAGCTTGTCGAAAGCCAGCCTCAAGCCGCAATCAGCAGAGAATGGACAAAAGCAGACATGCCACACCCCAGCGATTGCTTCTGAGATCCAAGGCTTGCAGTCCTCATCCTCGATCTGCTGCGAAACGAGGCCGACCAGCGTCTTGCGCCGCACTGACCTCTGGCGAAGCAGCGACACGCGAGCACCATGCAAGCACCGTGCAAGCTTCCAGGTGTGCTGCTTGCGCCCGTTGCTCATCTGAACAGCAGGGAACAGAAAGAGCGAAGGCCCCTGATGATCAAACCAGTACCGAGCCCGGTGCTGTGACCTGGTCACTTTCAGTCACCATCTGGAGCAACATGTCGCCGTGGTTGTAGCTTTTCGCCAGACCTACTCGCAGAGACACCTGGGAAGAACACGAACGAGAGCCAATTCCACTCAACATCCCTGAAACGGATTTCGGCGCACAATCAAGCCGAACATCAGGTACGCCAAGCCCACTGCCTCCGAAGACTGTCTTTCAGATCTGCTTGATTGCCATATTCGTGCGAACTGGGCTGCTGGCTACGGGCGAAACCCAGCGAATGTACGTCAGCTCCTTGTCTGCTCGAATCGGCGTGGATCGTAGCGAGAGTATGCAAAACTTGTAAAAATGGTGCATGTGCATGCAAGCTAGCACCAGGCTGTTGGACTTGGAGACATGCTAGCCTCCAGGCTTGATGCCAATGTTTGAAAGTTTGCATCTGGGTGGCCGTGCTTGGTGTTCCGTTTCTGAGTGCTTGAGGTCCTTTAGGTGTCTGCACAAGGGAGGTTGTGCCGAGTCCGACAGTCTGGTTTGGAGCTCTCAGCGTACGTGTGGGTGCGGCAGTGGCAAAGTCTGTGGGGTCACGACCACAGTCTCTGGTGACCTGATGCGTACTTGCCACACTTGTGACATAGTGCATCGCGCTTGCTCTAGTGTGTTTTTCGCTTGAAGCAAGTCTGTTCGGTAGCTGTACTGAATGTCGCGTACTTGTAGTAGTATTAGTCGTCGTCGTCGTCGTAGTAGCAGTAGCAGTAGCAGTAGCAGTAGCGGTCTAGTGAGGGCTTGCTTGGCACGCGCCTGATTGCGGTTCTTGCAAACCTTAAGCGGCGGAAAGGTATTATTAGATAGGGGAGGCCTTGCCCAGTTTGGGTAATACTGCCACCGCCAACCCATTAGATGATCATTCCTATACTCCCCCCTACACTTCACCGATATATCACTACTACTTCCCCATTATAATCCTTCCCCCCTACACTCCACCCATATATCACTACTACTTCCCCATTATCAATACAAGTATAGGGATAACCAATTACCCCATTCATATTTTCTAAGGTGGCATTATTACTCAAAAGGGGCAAGGCCTCCTTCGTAGAATTTGGTTCAGGGTTTAGGGTTAAGGGTTAAAGCAAAGCTTAATCTTCTCGGATATTCCAAGAATGTTATAACTCTAATGTAATTATAATATACAACTGCTTATGTATTATAATTACATTATAAATATGGTGTTAGTGGTTTCAAATGCTTATTCTTCATTTTTCCATAATCCACTATCCTTCCATACATGAAGTATTGTTTTAAATATTGATTTTCTCAAATCCCTGTCGTCTGTGACTGTCTTAATTGCTTCTCTTAAAAGACAGATATTCACATACAATGAACCCATACCACTGTGTTCGCTAAATCTTTCTCCTATTACCATATTTTTTTCAAAATTATTAATGTTTTCATACAGTTCAATCATTCTTTCTTCGTCTCTTACATAAATACTGTGCCAAAATAGTTCAAATTTATTCTGAACTGTTTTCTCAACAGGTATTTGCACTCGCCATAAATTGTATGCTGCTTTCCTCCAAAATGTGGTTCCACTTCGTGGTAGTGGGTTGTCTCTTACAAGTTGAATAATTTCTTGTGGTGTGGTTGTTCCTTCTAGTTGCCAATACATCATTCTATTATTATAGTAGGGCTTTTTTCTTTAAGTCATTTTCCTTAGAAAAACTATACTCTTAAGATTTGCTGGATTGCGGTTCGTTTGACAGACTTATCTAAGCATTCAGAACAAGTCACAATGTATTTAACAGACTAATAAGAATGCTTACATTTGCTGTAGCAACGCTTAAAACAATCAATGTTTTTGACTTGCATACAACGGTAACACTTCCTAGTAACAACATTAACTGTTTCAGTATATGGATCAAAATCAACTGATATTTTCTCTACTCTTACTGGCATTATATTATTATACTACGCACGTTTTCATATTGTCGTATTATGAAAACATGCATATATACAACCTTAAGCTTTAACGAAAACTAGTTAAATTAGAACATTAGTTGGGGCTCTTGCTTCTTCTCCACTTAGGGCCAGTGTATGGGCAACACTGTTCTGTCATAATCACATAGATTTTTTATTATATATTTTTATGTATTGCAATACTATTTTAACAATTTCTAAGGAACTATTACAACATCGTTTGAGTTTGCTATCTTTGCTTATTACTTCCTCTATTTTCTGAATTTCATCTATGGTCTCAATGTAAGTATTCATTATTATATAATATACATATTATAATGGAAGATATCCCTACAGTAGAACCCATTGACATACCACACTATAAGTGTAAGAACAGCAAATATGAAATATTACCAAAACTACCAGTAGAATGATTGCCGTGGCAAGTTCAACAGGTGGCAAATCGGTTGTAGTTCAGAACTTAATACTGAAAATATACCGCGGTTCATTTGAAAGAATATATATTTTTAAACCAAGTATTCATGTTGATGACACATGGACGGCAGTAAAGAAATACATAAGCGACGTAACGAAGGTAGATGCAGAAAAGAACAGATTTATTATGAGGAATACGACCCAGTGGCATTAAAAAGGATCATAACAACACAGCATAAAGTTATTGATTTTCAGAAGAAGAATAAACAAACGGAATTATTCAGTGTTTTAATAGTGGTCGATGACTTAGCGGATGACCCTCGCTTCGTAAGGTACTCCAATATTCTACATGGTTTATCAATTTCATGTGTTTTATCAACGCAAAAATATAGTGTCTTAGCGCCTATCATTCGCTTAAACAGTAGTGCTTTATTCATCTTCAGACTAAAGAACATGAATGAAGTTAATAGGTTCTTAGAAGAAAATTCAGCACTAGTGGATAAGAAGGCGTTATACGATATGTATGAACAAGCGGTAAATGACGCTCCATATTCTTTCTTCTATATAAATACTAATGCTAAAGATGTTAATAACATGTTTTTATACGATTTGAAAAACGCTTTGAAATAGGTGATTAATAATATGTTTTATTATATTATTAGAGAGTGTAAGACATTACGGGCCCCATATTTTTCAGTCAAAATGCTGTTTTCTCAGAGTTTTCATTACAAAAACTTACAATCGTCATAATTTGCATACTAGTGGTTTTCAAGCTTACTTAACCCTGTTGCTCTTGATGCCTGATATGGGAAATACTTTTCCAATCAACATGGGATGCACGTGTGACTACCTTTCATTGTGGAGTCTCATGAAGACTATCCGATAAATCAATGCCACTTCAATCTTGTGGTTGTTCTTTGTGTCTCATAGTATAATCTTGCAGATAAATGAGATACAATGCGTCTGCGAAACCGTGCATTTCTCCACCCTTGAATGATGTACAAGACCGGTCAATCTATATAACTTTTGTATATCAACGTAAAGAATCGCTTACATATCCTACCGGTTTTTGCAGGCCCCATCATGTGCATGGTAACATATGATTTTGGATATAGACGTCCAGCATATACTGTAGCATGACAAGTTGAGTTTGGCATCATACAGGCAGGTTGCTCAAACAGTTCCCACCGTCTCAAGCTGTATACATGCAGGCGATCAACTGGATCGTGTTACCGGATCCATTTGCATATGTACATATATACATATATGTGCATAGATGTCTTTGCTACATTCAGTTTCGATACCGTTTTTTCGTATGAATGCTAGCTTGTTTAGTGCAACCTCCTTCAAAAGCGTATTTATTGTTTGCGATTATTATTGCATTGGTTGTCCTTGTTTCGGAGCTCCCAGTCCAATAATTTGTCCAGTGTTTGGAGCTGTGTGTGCGGAATTGTGTATTTCAATTGCAATAGCTTCTCACAGAAGCCAATCCAGAAAACTGAAAACCGACGACCTTCGAAGACAATCATCGCATGGATGTCAGGATGCGATGCTGGCTTATTCAGATTAGTGATCATTGCGGCTGAAGCCCACAAGCCCCCAAAAGATAAGGATATAATTGGGTTAATATACTTGTCAAGGAGATGGTGCTTTGCTATCATTATTGTATATGCAGACATATGGAGATCCACCTGCAATATTAATCATTTTCGCTGTCTTGTTGCTCATACCATCTAGTCATAAGTTGACTGCCGTGAAAATACATTATTTGCACATGCACACACAAACATACACCGACACGCACATACGATTGTCATCAGCTGTAAACGATACCGCTTGTTATATCTATGCTGCAGGCAATGCACCTGTATGCCGCAACCATTCTAATATGGTCTTGTTAAAGCCCATGACGCACTTCATCGTGTGTCTTGCGGATATCTCCGTAAACTAAATCCTGTTACCCAAGAAAACGTATAAGAACTATACTATGCCTAAAACCAACTTTTTAATATGTGACATCATCAAGAAGTCAAGTATCTCTTGTGGTGGAAGTAAACATGGCAGATTACATTGGCAGCTGCATGCCAGTTTTGGCAAGAGTAATGGAGCCGTCATAATGAGGCACCCAACCGGCAGTTGAACAGGATATTCGCCACATTCCTTCGATGTAAAAGGCATGTTATGTGTTGAATATGGCCATATCAACATAGAGCACCAGGAAATTTCTTCAACATATCATTATGATATTGAGCCATCCGTATAGATCATCGCAGTATGTGTCCTTATAAGATGCCCGCATCGTTCGGGCTTCCCCCTTTACGCCTTCCGGCCGCGCGGGCAAGCGGGATTGCACCACATATTGGTTAAACCCCTCGGTAGACCTTTCTAAAAGCCCGGAGACTTATTCTCACACATAAACCCAATCTCGCATGAAGTTACAACAGTCACAGCTAAGTATGAATAGGTCGCAAGATGCAGGCAGCATCTCATGACACATATCTTCGCTATGAGATTTGACTTAGATGTCCTCGTGCATCCCGCGAGCTTGCCAAGCTCGTATGGCATC